GTAGAGATTATTCATTCCTGCTTTGCCATTTTATCGATCTAGAAAGTGAGGTCCTTATGACTAAAGAAGCCTCAGGGGACTTGCTCAGAGGGACCCAACTGGTAACTACTGGAGTTCAGACTCTCTGATTCCAATCCAAAGAGTTTTTAACACAGCTTCTCTGATGAATGCCACAAATTGATATGGATGGAGAAGGAAGAAAGATAAGATGTAATCCTCACCCTGAGTTACTTCGGTTTACTTCAGGGATCAATCACTTTGATGAGATCATGAGACTGGGGCCCCTTTAAAACATAGAAGAAATGGTGAGGTTTATGATAGTTTAACACCAAGTGGATAAAACTACTCATTAAAACTCAGAAACAGTATAAACACTAATGGATGTCATGCCAAAGAGTTGAAGATTGTTAAAGGTGACTATGCAGAAGTCTATAGGGATTTATACATCTTGAAACTCATTGAGACTCACCGAGATGGTATTTTAATCTTGGAGCCAATAGGCCACTGGCAAATACTGCACTAGGACTCTGTCTCTCTTTTGATTAGTTTGGTGCTATGATCTTAGCCTTTGCCAGGTGCAGTAAATATTTTGTAACAGTCTATATACACATCTCATGGAACATTCTAGAAGGTCTGTCCTCTTTGTATGAACCTCAACATGCTGTGGGACTTTAAAATGGACTTTGGAGAATTCGTACTTTGTAAAATTGACATTCCTTAGCAGGTCTTCTATTCACAACACTGGGTTAAGGTAAGTACACCAATTTGTTTAAGTCCATGAATATACAACTTGGCGTCTGCTTCTAGTACTTATAACTATGTATTAAAACTACAAATATTGACTAGTTGTGTTGGCAACCAACAATAGGGAGATTAAAATCCATAGAGTTCTGAAATGTAAGATGTATTTACTGTAATGTAGAACTCCATATAGTCACTGAAAACACATCAATGTATTATTATCCTTTGGCATATTCTGCTTCTAATCCTGATGGAATTTTGTTTTTCTTATTGCCTCTACATGTGAAGAAAAAGAAGTGAGGTCCCAAGAGCACAATCAGTTTTTTTATACTTCATTAGGGGTAGAGCTTAGACCCAATTTTTTTCAGATTTTTTGATACTTTTATTTAGAGGGTGATTCAGTTATAGAATGAAGCATTTTTATCTTTATGAAATCCAATGTTTTAAAATCCTTGTAGTCCTGTATATTACAGTTTTATAATCCTGAAGAGATTCTTTTATCTGAAGTTTTTCATGCATTTAGATATTTTGCATGATGTCTGATGATCGGTAATAAAGGTTGCAATGAATTAGTAGCTATGATCATAACCCTCCTGTAATCGAAAAACAACAAGGATTTTCTTTTCGGTATAGGCAGCTATGAAGTTATCAGGTAGTGACTGTCTATCTGAAAGAAACAGGTCATCTAGACCCAGTTTAAACTTGTTATACTGCCTACCAAACTGACTTCTTCCTGACTTCCCTGTCTTCTAAATGGCACCATTGTTCTCCTAGTCACCCAGGGTCATAATGTTAGTCTCCCTTGGTGTGTCTCTTCCCTTGCCTCCCTCTTCAAGTCCTGCAAGTCTTCCCTTGAACTCTCCCTCAATACCTGTTCTATCCTCCCCATTCCACTGCCACCAGCATCATTTGTACTCTTATGATTAAAGCAACGACTCGAGGTAAAGAGAGGATACATGTGCCTTGGGCATGTTTCCTCCTTGGGACAGTAGAGGTGAGGTGGAGTGATGGGAGAGGAGGCAGTGTTTGGGGTCCAGTGCCTGTGTCAGTGCTATCTCAGTCTCAGTCTCAACTCTCTCCACCCCTTTGATATGACTTAACGGCACCTGGGAAACCTGACCCCAGGGCATTCCACTTATTTGCCACTACCACCCTTCCTCTTTTAATGGAGCATTGTGATAACTGATACCGAGTTGTTGAGAGGTCACCTTCTCCTGCAGACAAGACCAGTTGACCATCTAAACATTCTTAACTCAGCTTTATTTTACCTAGAGACAAGGAGAATGCTGAGCTAAGGAGAATGAAATTACTTTTTCTCCTAGAGAACGAGTTGCAGACTTAGATTGATAGGGAATCTGATTTCAGGATTTGTTGACTCTCAGTTGGGATGCAACCTCTTAGATACTTCTTTAAATCCCATCACACGCGTAACCCAGTAAAGAGAGACTGAAAGACAGACTCTCTCTGAGAAGATGGAGATTAGGTGACAAAAATCTCAAAAATGTGGTTAGTTTAGTCAAAATATGAGTACAGAGGCTGACAGTTCAACTGTCTCTTGAATATAACCTTTATTATTTAGAATACTTACCATGTTGTGATGATTTGTTTACTTGTCTCCTCTGCCTGGGTTCAAGTTCTGGCCCTGACCATGACTAGGTATGGGCGCTGGGGAAGCTATTTAACTGTTTGAAACCTCAATTTCCCCACCTACAGAAGCTGATAATAGCATTTGGCTTTTTCTTCCAAGTGCCTAGTACCCTGCCTGGCTCATGGGTACTCAAGAATTATTTGTGAGTTATTTTACTGGAGAAGGGCTAAGCTTAAAGAATTTCTTTGTCACATTACAAGCTGAGTTTTGAGAAGAGAATTTGGCCAAAGGATGCTCTTCTATTAATCAGACTGGGCTGAAGATAGTGTCTGTCTATAAAGAGAGGTGGAAGCTAGATAAATGTTTTGAATATTTTATGACAACAGTTGAGAAATGTTAGGATACCTCCAGTCCCACATTTGGATAGGTTCTTGGAATTGCCTTCTGAATCTCATCCAAGATGGCTAGAAGTCGATTTGAATTTCTTCTTGGAAGTTGTGAACTCTGGGCACTAGACACTTTCCGTTGTCTTGCTTAGCCTGAATTGGTCTCCTGCTAACATCCCAAGCTTTGGGAACCCATGTCCTTTATTGGATATGCTGGTACACATTGTCTTAGGACATTTATAGTTGTCATGATTTGCCATTTAATTTATTATAGGTTCACTTGAAATGTCAATGTGCCATAGCTCTTGTTGGGGGAGAATAGAGTCATTTCTCTTTCCCTCACAGGAATGTATGAGAATGGTGAACTCTTTGCTGATTGATTGGTAAAATTATGTTTGTCTCACACGTTTGGAAATGTCATTTCTGAAAGGGAAGGTGTTGAATAGCCTTCTCTGGAGATCTTTTAAAATAGAGTAGTTTCTCACCTGATTGAGGTGTTTAAAGTGAGGTCTTCGGGGGCAATGGAATGGCCTCTGCTTCCGAAATTGGAATTATTTGAACTTTAGTTTGAATGCACATTTGAAAATAACGTGTTAAAAGTGTGACAGGATAGTCTATGGCAGGATATTTTATTCAGAGGATGGGGCCGGAATCAGGCCAAGGATGCAGGGACATCAAAAAACATTCTTTAGTTCAGAAACCAGAGGAGAAGGGTAGAGGGCATTACGGGAGCTAGGGCAGCAGATCTCGGGAAAGATGGCAGGCATATTCTTCTGACATTGCAAGACCAGTTAACTGGGTCTAGCAGAGAGAGGTGTATTAGTTTTCAGTCACTGACATAATAATATCACACATTAAGTGGCTTCAAGCAACACATGTTTATTCTCTAGGTCAGATGTCGGATACGAGTCTCACCCAGCTGAAATTAACTTCTCTACTTGAAAGTCTCACAGTCATCTTAGACTTAGTATGTCCCAAATGGAGCTCCTGCTGCTCACCCCAAACCTGTCTCTCTGCCGTCTTCCCCACCTTATTCCATACAAATTGCATGCTGAAATTGCCCAGGTCAAAAACTCTGGACTCGTCTTCAACTCCCCTTGCCCCTTTCAGCAAATCCAGTTGGCTCTCCTTCAAAATTATATAATCAGAATCTGATTATTTCTCACCCTGTCTAGTTTGGATTCCTGCGGTAGCATTTTAACTGGTTTGGCTGCTTCTACTCATGTTCCGTGTTAATACATCCTCAGCACAGTAGCCAGAGTGATCCTAACATGTGAGCCAGATCTGTCACTCCACTCCACTCCCCATAGCCAGTTGGCCCAACTTAGAGTCAAAGTCAAAGACCTTCTGATGGCCTAAGAGGGCGGGCAGGCTCATCACTTTGGCCCTGATGTGGTCTCCAGTGATGCTGTTTGTCTACCTCATAGGCTTTTTGGACCAATACATTATCAGACTCTAAAAACTTCCCACTGGCTCTTAGCCATGGATCATCCTTGGTCAGGGAGGCAGATTTCAGGTCAAACTGGCATCCTTTGGCCCACATCTGCCTTCTCCCAACCCCTTTGTGATACCCTCCAGAGTCCAAGTGGAGGGTCTCTTCCTGTCTGATTCAAAAAGCTGATAGAAAAAGATTTCCCCACAAGGTTCCATACTTTCCAAACCAACACCAGGCCCAGGGTTACTTTCTGGTTCTCCTGCTCTTGCACCTAGTCAGGCTAATAACTTAAGTGGCACTGCTGCTGAAACACATACCAATTGTTGGGATTTGAGGACGGGGCAGATTTCCTTGGAAAAAGGGAATGGGAGGGAGTGGTTCCTGTTTTGAGTTAACCACATCAATCTTCCAACAACTGTCTCCTCAATCACCGCACTCCTAGGGACTTTGTACAGGAGACAAGCATCTTCCAGAACCACTGCTCCTCACTGTTGAATTCAGCAGCTGGTAATGAGGTGAAGGATGCAAACAAAGCCTTTCCTTAAAGAATGTCAGGGAGGGCACTGTGAGGTACTCATCCTCGTGCCTTCCCTTGCATGGTTCTTGGTACCTAGAGAGTTCCATGTGTGTTTATTGAACCGAACTGATACATTTTTAAAAGTTAATCATCATATCAGATGATAAATCAGTCACATAGAAATAGGGCCTAGAAAACAAACATCTTATTACTGAAATTCAATATTACTGTAGCCAAGGGAACTGAGAAGGGGGTTAAAATTGGCCAAGGGCCTTTTAGGACATCTGAGTTGTCAGTGGGGTTCATGTGTTGTGTCCCGCTTTTGTCTGATAGGTCATTGCTTGTGAGCAGCAGTATGACTCTTCCTACGATGCTCGCTGTGATGTCTGGTCCTTGGGGATCACAGCCATTGAACTGGGGGATGGAGACCCTCCCCTCTTTGACATGCATCCTGTGAAAACGCTCTTTAAGATTCCAAGGTAGGACACAAGATGGCGCTCTTGGCTCATTAGTTCTTTGTGAAAGAGCCTTGTTAAGGATAATAAATAGTTAGTAAACAATTTCTCTCCGAAGGCGAGAAAGCCTGATTGTAAAATGTATTTTTTTAGGGGGGAGGGGGAGAGGGGTGATGGTGGGGAAGAATGTGTTCCTGAAAGATAACATATTCCAGAAAGTAGACTATGTTGTAACAATTGTGTATTTTCAGTGCTCCAGTTTTTCTGAGATGTTTATTTTTTGTGCTTTGCCTGAGAAGACTAAAAATGCAGTATTGGATTAAGTAATCTGTCTAAATACTGTTGTTTTCTTTTAAAATTATGTAATCATGTCTGGTCATTTTTTTCCAGTTTGAATCTTTCTCCAGTATTTTGGAAAATTTAGGGATAAAAATGTGTACAGCACTAAAAAAAAAATCAGATAAATGTTACATCAGCCCTGATTTTCTCTCCATCCCTTAATTTCCATCTCAATGGGAAAATGTGCTGAAAGAGGTCTGTTTGAAGGGTATTTAAATATCAGTATATTTTCTATTGTCTGTATTCATTATGGGTTTGTACAAGAGGTTTGGTTGTTTGTCTTTCATCAGAATAGGGCTGATGTTTGGCCAACTCAAGGCTCCAGTTATGGGAAATGAAGCCATCGGGGAGCTCCATCCCGGCAGGTTGCAGGTTGAGAGCTTTGTACTTTCCACATTTCTCTTTCAAAGGAAGCCTCTGGGCTGGTTTGGAGCCATTTAACAATATAAGTGTTAACCTTTCCTTATCTGCACAATCACACAGCTATCACAGCCTTTAAAAATTTCTCCTGATTGCAATTTGCATTTCTGATTAGGTCTATTTATATGTAGATGAGACTCTGTGCCATTCATCATCACAATGTTATCGTTTTGTACCTAATGCAGATGTGAACCACCACCCACCATTATTCCAAAAATGATTCCCACCCGTCAGAGTTGGTCTTTTGGCCATTTCCAGAGAACAAAAACAGGTCATAGTGATTAGAAGGACAGACAAAGCTCTGGGCTTTTCACATTAATAGTCTGGTGAATGTTCAAAACAATGTAAGAATACAGGACCCCAAAACAGTATTGTATACAATCATATGCTGGAAAATGAGAAATGGTGTTTGGGATGATTTGTGTGTGTGCTCTGATTTTTTTTACAAATGGTTTACTCTTTATATACTAGAGCAACATAATTTCTCAAATATCAGAACTAAGGTGTGGCTTCTGATTAGCAAGATGTATGTACTTTTGATTAGAGATCATCTACTTGGGTATGTTTTTCCTTTCTCTTTTTTTTAGTGTGCATTTGTGTACAGACCAGTTGTTCGAAAATTTTATAGGATGATAAACGTGAGGCAGCTTAGAAGGTGCGTGTGTGTGTGCATGTGTGTGTGTGTATATTTAAACAGACCCTTCATCTCCAGTGACTCTTCTTAGCTTGCATCTGTGGCCCAGCCAAACGTCTGACCTCTATTAACCTTTGTACTCTCACTCCCTTCAACTTCTTCCATCTCGGGAGAAACTTCCAGTGCTCAAACACAATTAACCATGCCCCCCACTGCCTCCCTCGGAGCAGGATGAACTTCAGGAACAATGCAATTGTTAGTAAAAGATTTTAGGGGTGACAAGGATCCGTATTCCAAAGTAGGTTGAAACTTTCTTTCTCTCCTCCTAGTGTAACCTCCTGCCCTTTTACTGTCTCTTGGTTCCTGTGCAAGTGATGAATCAGATTGAACTGGGGAAAGTCAACACTAATCGGTCAGGAGGCTGTGGTGGTGATTATGTGCTCACACTTGTCATTATCCCAACCTTACTGGTGGATTGACATTTCTGGGCAGGAAGGATGGAGGTTTTTTAAAAAAAATGTAGGATATTTGCATATACTGCATAGCTTTTTATACTAAGTTATTTACTTGAAAAGAATCCCGTCAGTTAGAATCCCACAGTTCTCTTATGAAGGGTTGTGGATTGACTCTGTGTGTGTGTGTGTGTGTGTGTGTGTGCACTCATGGACAAGTGTATACTCTATCCTAATCGTGAGCACTAAAAATGCATTCTTTCCTCAGAAAACTGCTTGATAGAGATTGGAGAAATTTAACATTTACATATTTTAAACAGGCACTTGGATCATTCACCTGTGGGCTTCATGGGTCTCTCTCTTTCATTATACGTCAGCATCTCCTTTCCTAACGGGGAAAAGCAAATGGCAGATAGTGAACAAAAATCCTTTGCAGCTGTTTGGCACCAGAACTTTTTTCTTCCTCTTTGATTATGAGTATTGTCGGTGTTCTGGAATTCTCTCCGATTAAACAGTGAAGTCCAGGCAGAGTGCTGTGGGGCCCAGACTACTGTGCATGGCTCTCCCTGGCTGCCGGCCTTTCTCACACACCTCTTCCCTACAACCCTTTCCTGACTGGAAATAAATTGAGTAAATTACCAAGTAAGGAAAGGAAAGAAACCTTTTCCTGAGTCGGGGAAGAAGTGACTTTCATGAGTTACCAAGGACGTAGGAATGAATGGCGTGCTGGTTCCATGTGAGGTGGGAGCCTCAGATGTCTATGGAGCAGATGGTTACACGGGTTCCCCGGGCTCTGTCAGCAAAAGAAGCGAGGCCGGCTGGATGTGCTGGATGTGCCCACACACGGGCCTCCTCGCTCTTCCCCTCCGCCTCCACTCACCTTCTCCTTTCTTTTGACCTTCACATTAGAAGATGACACGTGGGGTAGCCGTGACCTGTCTTTGAAATCCTGCATGACTTGAGATCTTTCCCACATCACGAACACACAGAAATTATCTGCTGATTGGCAGAGGAGCCACTATTTGCTGAACCTGTCAGCATGTGTCATTTTGTCTAACGCCTTTGCTCTAAAAAAGTCACCCTTCTCTGATAGTCACTGCTCTGTCTATTGCTATTTTTCTCCAGGAGTTAGAAGAGAGGAAGGGAATGAAACCATTTCTCTGGGCATTAGCAGCTTCAACAACATCTCTCTCACGACTCTCCTAGAGACTCTTTAGAATTCCAAAGGCTTAGAAGCATCTTGCAGATGACCTGGATATATTTTTCACTTAAAAGGAGATCTGTTTCATAGATGTATTTACAATAACCCATAGAGTTAGGAGAAATACACAAATATATACTGCTCTTGGTAACCAGTTACCTTTCCTTAGCGTGATGTCTTTGGCTAATGACCTCTTTGACCTCCACAGATGGGGGTCTGGAAAGTAGTGGGGACTAGCATGGATGTGTTTATTGGACAAGGACTGAGAGCTGTGTCACCTGCCCATGTATTTGGGGCCAGATAGGAGCTGACTCTGTCCAGTGTCTCATTGCACAGTGAGTACTTCCACCTCATTTCTGTGGAAAAATGCAGAGTGTTTTCAAGATTCCCAGCAGAAATGACCTTGGCTGGAGGTGGATGGAATAGAATGGCCTGAACATCCCAGTCACTGAAGTCAGTGATTTTCCCTTCCTAAAGAGAAGTTTCCCTGGGGAAGGAACTCGTGATGATTACAGTTTACATTTGGGCTTATTTTCCTTACCAAATTTAAGTTGTAAACTGTACCCAACCACATTAGTTTCCTAGGTCTGCCACAAAACATCACCACAAACCTGGTGTCTTAACTCAGTTGAAATGTATTCTCTCATAGTTCTTGAGGCCAGATGTTCAAAGTTAAAATGTCGGTAGAGCTGTGCTCCCTCTGAAGGCTCTGGAGGAGAATCCTTCTCGCCCCTTCCAGATTCTGGTGGCTCTGATGTTCCTTGGTTGGTGGTAGCATTCTACCTTTCTTTCTTATCTCTCTGTGTCTTTTTCTTTTCTGTCTGCTGGTAAGGACACTTGTCATTGGCTTGAGGCCTCATACTAATTTAGGATGATTTCGCCTCAAGATCCTTGTTTTAATTACATTTTCAAAAGACCCTTCTTCCAAATGACATCACATTCTCAGGTTCCAAGGGGACCTTGCCTTTAGGGGACCACAATTTAACCCACTACACTAACCAACTTTCATGTTCACCAGGTTCCCTGAGAATCTTAATTTAGGGGCAGAATATAAGCTGACTAGCTAAATGATGATGGAAAAATAATAGCTTAGGTTTATCGAGTGCTAACTAGGTGGCAGGCACAGTGCTATGCAATTCACATACACAAATGCCTTCAGTCCCCACATGACCCTGTGAGGTAGGTGCTGTCATCAACTCTTTTTCTAGAAGAGAAAACTGGAAGCCCAGGGAGAAAGCCCATGGAGGGAAAGTGATTTGAACCTGTGAAGTTTGACTCCAAAGCCCACACATTTTGCAAATACATTGAAAAGTTAAAGCCCTTCCTTAAATTATATTTATTTATTGATGAATTGTGAAATGAGTACTGAGGGGACTGGAGAATAAAGGAATGAATGTGGGGGACAGTTCTCAGAGTTTTCTGAGAGGCTGTTCCCAGATTATAATCCTCAAATTGGCTCAAATAGAATTTTCCATTCAAAAAAAAAGAAGTGAATAAAATATCCTGGCCTTTAAGAAGCTTAATCCAACTTCTTTCTCCATGCTCCCAATTTCAAACTGACATAGTAAAACTGAGAGTTAGAATTGTATTAGCATCAGGGATTGTGTCAGTCAAAGAACTAAAGAACAGAAATCAAAAGTGTCGTCATAGATGAGCACCGGCCCTCCATGGCTCATTGATTTATGATTCCCAAACCAGAAATCCCTCCCTTCTCCAAACTCCTCTTCAAGCAACTGCCTTTTAGTTCCTAATTTAGAACACTTAAGACAAGTGAATTGCAGAACTTATGTTACATAACAGCAGAGAGGCATTTCAGGTTATCATTATTGGTACCCAGTAGTTTCTGTCCCACCCCACCCTCCTCCCAAAACTTCATGTGCCGTGACTGTCAGGGTAGTTTCTGATAGAGCCAACATCTCTTGTCCTTCGTCTTCCTCTTATTTTTTTCAGTAGGAAAGCCTTGCTTTGGTTGTGGAGT